TCAATGTATCTCATACATTTTTTTGATATAATCTACAAGGTACAGACAAATTCTAGGTTACTTGTTTTAAGTATTAACCAATGTTTATATTTTCAAAATGTCTGATTTAAGAAATTCACGGTTTAACAATTACTCGTATTTAATATGTACATTGTCCATCATAGAGAACAACAGGCACGTTATATTTAACTAAGTAATTCAGCAGCATGATAAAGTAAGATAAAGATAGTTACTACTTGTTGTTTACATGATTTCAGTGTTTTCTTCTTGCTTATATATGGTATCAGGTCTCACAATGATAATGTATTTTTATTTCCAGGAGCTATTGTAGCAAGAGAATTAGAAGAATCAGAAAATCTCTTCACTTTGTTCAGGGAACAAAACATCGTTTTCAGCCGAAGAAGATTACGGAGGATATTCTTACGGATGTTAGGTATTATAAAACATCACAGTCACGTCCAATTTTTAATTAGGAAAGAAGACAATTTCTCTCTCTTTATTTGTGGAATTGATTATTGAAATTTTTTTATTAGTCATTTAGATGTGAAAATATTTTGTGTGAGTATAAAACAAAGATGGTGCTATTATAGCGAGTGGTCTAGACAGATGCTATCATCATCATCACCGTTTTAAAGATTCACTAAAACATAATTTCTTGCTAAATAATTTATATGTATCCATGTTTTTGTTCAGCAAATAATAATAATATAATAAGTTGTGTGTTCCAGAAGAGTACCTTAAATTTAGGTTATAATTGTGTTAGTTTTGATTGTTGGAACGTATTTCATTCCAGTTATATTTGTCCCCAAAAATGTTATGTAATGGTATTTTTGACTATTAGTTTAAAAGCATTATCTGTGTAGATACACCACAAAGATGAGATGTTGAAAAGAAACTATCAGAATCTATATAAACCACCAGAGAATGTTGTGTGAATATAAACCACCAGAGAATGTTGTATAAAATCTATATATACCACCAGATAATGTTGTATGGAATCTATATATACCACCAGATAATGTTGTATGGAATCTATATATACCACCAGAGAATGTTGTATGAATATAACCACCA